TCGAAGGATTTAAATCGAGAAGATTCCTTTTTATCACCCGGTTATTTGATCCTTCCTGCTTGCAAACCAAGGGGTTTGTCAAAAGTCTGATTTGGGGAGGGTTTTAAGTTAGACCTATATTCTATCATTTTCTTTTCTCCCTCAAAAATATCACTTATACAAAGGGTGGGGGAGTGAATTAATTCCTGGATGTTTACAGCCAAGAAAACAAACAAGGCTGTTTAACTGGCTGCAATTCCAAACGGTGTTTGTTTCAAACAAATCTAGGCACAGTATTCTCATTTAGCCGACTTTCAGTCTCCAGTTTGGCAAAATACCTAGGCGAATAAAAAGCCCCCGTTTCACTAGGAATAATTTCGTTAAGAGTAAGGATTTTGCTGGAACCAGGGCTGCTCTACTGCTGTCGTGCCTAAAATGCTGGAAAACCAAACCAGACAAAATGTAACTTTTGGAATGCATACACAATAAAGGACCAATGCAGCTTCTCGGCTCCATTGTTGTGCTAATCCCAAAGGCTAATCAAAGAGCTGTGCAGCCAGATTTTCTAGCTATGCAACTAGCGTCACCTAGTGGAGAAAAGGAAGTAAATTTCAAGGGGACTTTTGAAGCTTCCAAAATAAAGTGGTTGACAGCAAAGCATTGGGGAAAAAATGAATGGAAGGGAAGGGCAGGGGTGGGGAAGAGAAGGAGGAAGGAGAAGGGGGGAAGAAGGAAGGGACAGGGAAAGGGATGGGAAGGGAAGGAGGAAGAGTAGGGGAGTGGAAGGGGGAAGAAACAGGAAGGGAAGGCGGAAGGGAGGGACAGGGGAAGGGGAGGGGACAGGAAGGGAAGGGGGAAGGGAAGGAGGAGGGGCAGGGGAGGGGAGGGGGAAGAGACAGGAAAGGAAGGGGAGGGAAAAGGAAAGTTCCAGAATGACAAGACCACCCATCTAGGAAAATCAATACCTATGGCTAAGTGCTTTATTCTGTTGTGATTGTGAAACGTTTCCTTGGGATCTCTGTGTGGGAAGTCCCTGGGCACAAATGCTAAGAGTGGAAATCGCCAACTGCCACCTCACACGGAATAACACAAATGTAAGTAGGTTTTTGGAATGGTAGCAACCCTCCCGGTCTGAGAGCCACCAACCATTTCATGTGGCCTTAATGTCATCACCCACAGTAGAATCGCTTGACTTCCTATGACCACCAAGCTCAGAGAGCCCCAAAGACCCCACCGTTTCTTCACCTATTATGTCATACCAGTTTAAAACCAGTTCAGAGGAATCCAACGTCCCACTCCCTCTGCCTTTCTGAAGTTCAATCGCACTGCTGGGAAACTAGGCTGCCGAAGGAATACGTTCACAGCGCCCCCCCCCCCCACACACAAGCGTCCTGCTGATATTTCAACTTCAAAATCTCTTAATGTCAAAAGCTGACCAGATGCATCAAGCACCTCCACGCAGGGTGGCGTGAGGGCAAATCAAAACAACTGCTTGCACTTCTCACACCCACAAGGTGTAGGCATGCAGTATTTATTGATTACAACTCATCCATTATTGATTACAACCAATGAAGCCAGTTTGGGCAAACTGCAAAATGCATTTCAAGACTTCCAACTGCCAAGCTGTTTCAAGCAGAATCACTTTGGTCCGTCTAGTGCAAGAGCTCCCAACCCCACCTCCCCCCGGTTCCGTGGTCCGGCACCGGTCCACGGCATGCCAGAAACCAGGCCACCAAACAAGTGAAGCCCCATCCACGGGATGCAGGCAATACAAGAAACCACAGCTCCCTCCGGTCTGCAGAAATCTCTCTCCACGGAGCTGGTCCCTGGTGCCCAAAAGAGGGGGGGGGGGGCGCTGGTCTAGGGATTAAAGTTGTGGCTTAGAAACCAGGAGGCTGTGAGTTCTAGTCCTGCCTTAGGTACCAAAACTGGCTGGGTGACTTTGGGCCGGTCATTCTGTCTCAGTCTAACCCACCTCACAAGGTTGTTGTTGTGAGGAAAAAAGAGGAGGAGGGAATATTAGGGATGCTCACCATCTTGAGTTATTTATAATGTAACTAGCTGTGCTTCGTGATGAAACTACGTGATCTGATAACGCAGGAGAAATCTGGTTCACTCCGGTTCAAAGTTACAAGGGCACTGAAAAGGGCGACTTAGGACCATTTTTTGCACTTCTGACCCTTTTTAAGGAGACTGAGTTTCGGAATCTCCAAAAAAGGAAATTTTGACTGGATTAGTGGCTCTCCCAGCATGGCTTACCCTCTTTTATCTTCCCACAAAGGTTCATAGGTCAAAATTAGTTATGTCTGTGGGGTGAACAAAAAAGGGAAATGGGAGAAAGCAAAGTAAGGATTCACACCCTTTCTGGGAAACCCTTGGGACACAACCTTCTGCAGAGGCCCCTTATTGTCAGCCACCCCAGAACAAGGGGAGAACAGCCCAGATAAAGATTGTTTAGAGCAGAAGAAAGGAAGCTTATCAAGAGCCAAATTTATCTTCTATTTGCATGCATACTTATGAAACAAGTCGGCAGGCTTTTAAAATGCTCCCCCTCTTTTTTTTAGCACAACTGTTAAGTACTAACAGATAACATTTTACTTCCTTTTATGTCACTGGCTTGCCCTGAAGGTACTTTGACAATTCAGAACAAAAGCTATGCAAAGGGGAGATTGGAACACAGAGCAGTTGAAGTGAAGGAATCTCTTCTGAAACCTTGGCTTCAGGGCAACCCTTTTCCAAACACAGTGAATTTGGGGAGTTTCCCCTGGCATTTCAGTTGCCCCAGGGCCTGAGCCTCTTTCCCTCCCTCTGACAAAAGACTGGCCACACTTGTTTGGTGGAGCCCACCAATTTTAATAGGTATGTGAATTTTCTTTCTTTCTTAGTACAGAAAAATCTAGCAACTACCAACACATCAGCTTTGTGATTGTCTGGTTTCTTTCAAAGATTAAATATGAGAGATATGCATGAAACAAAACAAAAAAATAACCAAGCGTATCATAGTTCTGAGTAATGTCCCAACCAATTCAACACTCTGAGGCCTTGGCTTCCTCAAAAATCCTGTTTATTGGCCACAACCAACCATACCGATATGATGTACCCAATAAACAGGATCTTTGAGGAAGCCTCAGAGGCCTGAGAGCCTTGAATTGGTTGGGAGCATTACTCGGAACCATGACATGGTGAGGATAGGACCAACTATTTTCAGATGTTGATGGTTCAACAGAAATGAAAAGTAACAAGAAACCCTGTGGTTGTTTTGGGTTTCAGATAAGGCAAAATAAACCCCGGATAGGACCAGTAAAATGAGGTTGGGTCTTGCTGGCCTCACTCTCCCTTCCCCAATTCCCAATGCAGCCAAATCAGATGTCCTGCCTGGTCCCATTTTTCTTCCTGTTAGCAGCAGCTGCCACTGAGAATATCTTCACTCATCCCACTGACCAAATCCATGGTCTTTTTTCCTCTCCTTCTTCTCTATTCCTGGTCTTCCTGTTGTTTCCTTAATCCCAAAACACTCCACTGTTAGGCAAAAGTAGCCAGAGGTGGGATTCTACCAGTTCAAACTGGTTTGGGCGAACCGGTAAGTCCGACTATTGCTCATCCTCCCCTGCGCTATACTAATCAATATTCCCTTTTCTAAAGCCCATAGGCGATAGGCGCGGCAGAATGAATTGCTGTCCCCAGCAGTAATGCGGTAGGCGATTTCTCTGTCAAACTGTGTGCACGCACTCAGCAAACTGGTTGTTAAACAGGTAGGATCCCACCTGCCCACCCCGAAAGTAGCCCTGTTTTGTTTGCGCATAGGACAAAAAACTGCCCATTTCACTCACAGAAGGAAACAGCCCCCATTCCCTTAAGAAACAAAACCCTTAAAACATGCATGTTTCAATTCAGGCAGAGAGAAAAGCAACCTTAGCACTTAGGTGAACAGAAGAGTTTATGCATTTTCCACATGGTGTTCTCTGAGCCTGGTGGCTTTCTTGTTGGTGGTTGGTGACCCAAACTAGGAAACATCATCGGTGCTAAAAGGGAGTGGGGTTTGGTCTTTGCTTATATGTCGTGGTTTGCCCTGTTAGGCTGCCATGCTAATCAAGGAACTAGCAAGAAGACTCTCCACCAACCCTGATGGAGCAAGCCCCTCGTACCTAAACAGAGGAAGCAGTCCTCACTCCCTTTCTAACATCGATGTTACCTACTTGGGTCATGAAACGCTTGCAAGAAAAATTCAGAGAGCACCAGGAACACCACAGTTGCCTACCTCCTCCACTTCACAAACCCTTCTGCCTTCTAGCACTGATGATGTTAGTTAGCATGGTAATGAAACATCTGCAATAAAACAACCAAGTTCAGAGAGAACCAAGAACCCCAGTTATCCTCCTCCTCCTCAACCCTCTTCTCCTGTTCCTTCCCTTTTCCACTTCCTCCTCTTTCCCCTCCCCTCCACAAACCCCACCCCTTCTTGCACTGATGTTACCTATTGCATTATGAAACATATGCAAGCTAACAGCTAAGCTCAGAGAACAAGGTCTCCACAGTCACTGTCCTCCTCCACTCCACAAACCCTTCTAACACTGATGATGTTACTTAGCATGGTAATGAAATATCTGCAAGAAAACCAATGCACTCAGAGAGCACCAAGGACCCCACAGTTGTCCTTGTCCTTCTCAACCTCTTCTCCTGCTCCTCCTTCCCTTTTCCATTTCTTCCTCCTTCCGCTCCTCTCCTCAACCCTACTCCCTTTCTAGCACTGATGATGTTACTTAATTGCGTCACGAAACGTCGGTAAGCAAACAACCAAGTTCAGAGAGCACCAAGGAGTCCACAGTCGCCGTCTTATTCTACTCAACAAACCCTCCTCCCTTCTAGCACTGATGATGTTACCTAGCATGGCAATGAAACGTCTGCAAGAAAACAAGCAAGCACACAGAGCACCAAGGACCCCACAATTCAACCCTGGGCTACAAATATTCTCTTCTATCATTTGTCACATACCTGTTAAATATCCATCGTCACACACTTACCATGATTTAGGCTCTCCAAAATGCAGGTAGTTGATGCTGTAGAGATCCATGTCCTCCGTATGCCACGCAAACGTGGTCTTCCACATCCCAAAGTAGAGGTAGGGGGTGTTCACGCCTTCTATGATAATCCCACACTGACGTTCCACCATATCAAGGAGTGTGTTGAGATTCCCAATATTCCACTCTTCCACATCCTGGGGGGAAGAGAGAAAATAAATCTAGACAGTCAAAGGAGAAGCCAGTGCTCCTTCCATCCCCACACAGGAAGGGGGCGCTTGCGGTCACTTTTCACAGGCGGCCTCAGAAGGGAAAACATCTGGCAGGAGCAGCTCTTGCAAAACAGCAGGGCACCAGACATCTCATAGCCCCACGGAGCAGCTCTTGAGAACAAAACAGACTCAAACGCCCGCTATTACATGGGCTTCCCGCCGGCTGTCTAAAACCTGTTTACCACAACTTTTAAGATTCAATTCACAGATGGAACAAAAATGAAAAGCGCTTTTCTAAAAATAACACAGAGAAATTGGTACGAGGAGGAGGAGAAAGAGAAGAGAAAAATTCTGACTGAAAGCCAGCCAGCACAGTTTATGTTAAGAATACAGGTGGTTCCCGACCACAATTGAGCCCAAAATTTATGGATTTGCCCCATTTTACAACCTTTCTCGCCACCGTCGTTCAGTGAATCCCCGCAGTTGTAAAGCCAGCAACACGGTTGTTACATGAATCTGGCTTCCCCATTGATTCTGCTTGTCAGAACAATGCAAAAGGGGGATCACATGACCCCGGGATACAGCAACCGTCGTAAATATGAACCAATTGCCAAGTCTCCGAATTTTGATCAATTGGCCACGAGGATACTTGCTAGAGTCGCAAGTGTAAAAAACGGTCATTACGTCACTTTTCTTCAGCATTGTTGTAACTCTGAATGGCCACTAAATGAACAGTTTTTAAGTTGAGGACCTGTAATGCAGACATGGCTATCAACAAGGGTTTGCCTTCAAAGGCCCTGGCCATGAAATTCCTAGAAATCTAAAATCCCTTTCAGAGATATTGACAGGTAGTCCTCGAATTACAGCTATTTGTTTAGCAACTCTTCAAACTTACAAAAGCACAAGAAAAAGTGACCTCTACCCAGTCCTCACTCTTACGGCTGTCACAGGATCCCCAGTCATTTGATCAAACTTGGCAACCAGCATGTATTTACGATAGTTGCAGCATCCCAGGATCATGCGATCACCATTTGGGAAGACCCCAAATGTGACTTCAAAGTCGATTTGGGTGGGGGGGGGGGGAGCCGGATTTGCCTAACAACCATCTGACTCCCTTAACAAGGGCACGGATCTGTTTAACAACCGTGGCTAGAATGGCCATAAAATTGGGTGAGACTTCCTTAACCACCACTTTGCTTAGCAATGGAAATTCTTATTCTAATTGTGCTTATACAGCAAGGACACTTTGAAACTTTCAAACAATTAATCACCACAGCCCCCAAAGTGCTTTTTTCCCCAGGAGGCAACTGGATGTATTTTCTTGTGAAGACGCTTCACTTCTCCTCCAAGAAGCTTCTTCAACTCTGACTGGATGGCGGGGAATGGAAGGATTTATGCTCCTTGCAGACAGCTGGTCATTTGCATCCTTTTAAAGGGTCATTGAGGCCTCTTGGAGGGTTATCTGTGTCCTGGGGGGTCACCTGAATGGTGTAAACAGGTATGGAGCCTCCTTGGCTGCTGGATGTTTTCTGCCCTGCGTCCCTTCACTGTTGAACACAGGCGCAGGCTGTTGGGGTTGTGTCTGTGTTGGTTGCACCTCAAACTGACGCACAAATGGTTCCTGTAGTCTGCAATTTTTCTGGAAAATCCATTCATATTCCTGACTCTCTCAAAGAACACAAATGACCAGCTGTCTGCAGGGAATATAAATCCTTCCATTCCCCACCATCCAGTCAGAGCTGAAAAAGCTTCTTGGAGGAGAAGCTCAAAGTCTTCAAAGAAAAAACAAAGTCCAGTTGCCTCTTGGGAAAAAAAAAGCCCCTTTGGGACAACCATGACCTGGATGACTAAGAACCTGCATAGACAATCACAACAATTGCAAGTTTGTTGGAAGAAATTATACGTGGTGACACCAGTAGTCCTCAACATTCTCATTAATTTATAATTCCAGTATAATTTAACCTGTTCCAATGTTATCTACCATATTTTTCAGACTATAAGATGCTCTGGACTATAAGATGCACGTAGCTTTTGGGAAGGAAAACTTTTGGGGAATCTGCCTCTATATCTGCCTCTATTTCCCAGCATCAATCCGGTATTCATCCAGCTTGTTTGCCGCCATCCATTCCCTGCTGCGGCATGTTCGCAGCCACTGCTGCCCATTCACCGTGGCCCCATTTCGCCGCCTGTCCAGCATGGCCCATTTGAAGCTGCCCATTTGCCATGGCCCATTCGCCGCGGCTTCCACAGCCCATTCTAGAACAGCTGCTCTGCGCTGCACACACACACACACACACACACACACACACACACACACACAGAGCAATATTCGGCGTATAAGACACACAGGCATTTCCACCCACTTTTTTTTGGCGGGGGGAGTGCATCTTATACTCTGAAAAATATGGTAAATTGGCATTGTACATATGCTCCAATTTTATTTCACAGGGACTTACCGAATCATACAGTGAGCCACTGATATCCGCCCCATATATAGGGGAGACAAAAGTCAAATTCTTCCAGTATTTGCGTTCCAGATCATCAAAATCCTGATGACGCGGAGTGCAGTACCTGGTAAGGAAAAGCAAAATTAAGAACTGGCAATACCCCCCCCCCCTTTTTTTTGTAAACCAAAATTGAGCTCCCTTCTGATGAAATGGGCTGCGGGCCACATCATTTAACACCCTAATAAATGTAGGACAATTTATTTAGTTCACTCTGAGCGCAGAAAAACACCACCTTGCCAACTCTATTCTATAAAATGATGTTGACGGGTAGTCAATAAAAGCACCGGAGAATGTGACACAAAGGAAGCTCAATGGGACCGGGGAGGGGGGAGTGAGAAACATAGTCATTAACGTGAGAAACAAAGCCTGTGTTTTTCTGTATACTTTTACTACAAAAATAAAAAAAAGAATCTCCATGCTTTGTTTAGTTAAAAGCCAAGACAGTCTTAACCGTAGATGTACGTACTTCTCACTATTAGCCACGCGCCGATACTCTCCAACCTCCATGGGTTTCTTCTGAATATTGTACTGGGTGAAGAGACCAGACTGGCCAGTCACCACCTGCTGAATGGGAGCAGGGATCACCATGCTGTCGATGTCATCATAACTCTTCCGGGGCTTCCATTCCTTGGGAGGGATCACCTGTAAAGGTGGAGAACAATGTTTTTTCTTGACTAGATCACGTTTCATGAGAACAAATGAACTAAAGGGAAGGATTCTTAGCACATCTCCTCGACTTCCTGTTTCTAGCACCCAAGTGTGTTTTACTCTAGATTCTTCGCCAGAAACTCAATCTGCTTGAGGAGTAAGATCGCTTTGGGATCTCTGCTGTGGACTCTGATGTTTTCCTCTTTGGGTTGGGCTTTTGAATGCCTTTGCTGCCTTCTCCCTCTTACAATCTGTGTCCCTAACTTTATTCATGTCTCATAATGTCTAACCATCTCAATTGGGAAGCCAGATTCACTTCACCATCATGCTTCTAACTTAACAACTGTGGCCAAAAAAGGTCGTAAAATGGGATAAAATTCACTTAAACAACTGCCTTGCTTAGCAACAGAAATTTCGAACTCAATTGTGGTGGTAGTTACCTGTAGCATGAAATCCAAGGACTTTTTCCTATTCCTATTTTCTACTCACCTATAAGAGATTTTCTCTGTAGGAAAGGGAATTCTTGTTTGTCCCCAAAAATATAGCAGCATTAAAAGCCCCAGAAGGGGCAGGTTTGACTGCATCTGCTGTCTAAAACGGTCTGGGAGCTAATTAAAACCCTCTCTTGTCACCTTACCTATAGTGAAATTAATTAGTACACATGAGTGGACAAGGAAACATATCCTCCAAAGCTTTTATCAATACCCAAATCCCCAGTGAAAATGTACTGAAATGAGTTATTTGACCCGTTTTAACGAAGAGCCAGGGTCTCCCTTTTTCTTAAAGCTGCGCTCAATTTTGTTCTCTGTAAATGTGTGCCAAAGCAGCCCTAATTGCCAAACGAAAAACAATTTTGGAGAAAAAAAAACCCAGAAAACAGAAAAACCTGAGATGTGTTCCAGTGCACTCGTACTCAATGTATTCAAAGCAAAGCATGCACGCACACACATTTTACACTGATGCATTACGCAGAGGCATCATGTGGTTCATTTAAGCTTTGGGGTTTTTTTAAAAGGAGAATTAAGGGTAATTATGTGAAACGGGTGAACTGTGATTTGTTTATTAAACTATGCTGAAAACAAAATATGAGCTACTGCTAGAACCCTCAATTTGACCCTCCCAGTGTGTAACCAGAGACATCCCTTGTTTGCCTCTCTCGCTTGATTTTGTACTTTAAAAAAAGAGACAGTGCAGTCAAGCATTTTACTCAGAATGTCACTCCTTTGCGCTTCAAAAACAAATGTAACAAAGGCAGAAGTGTATATAGGTAGTCCTTGACCCTTCGAAGTTATGACGACACTGAAAAAAGGGGCTTATGACCGTTTTTCACACTTACAACCATTGCAGCATATCTATGGTCATGTAATCAGAATTCAAGATGCTTGGCAACTGACTCACATTTATGACAGTTGAAACATCCTGGGGTCATTCGATCCCCTTTTGCAACCTTCCAACAAGCAAAGTCCATAGGGATTCACTTAACAACAGTGTTATTCACTTAAGAACGGCAGGGATCCACTTAACAAATATGGCAAGAAAAATCATAAAAGGAGGCAAAACTCACTGAAGAAATGTTTCACCTTGCAACAGACATTTTGGGCTCAGCTGTGGTCGTAAGTTGAGGACTACTTGTATTTATGGGGGAAAGTGTCAGATAGGATACCAAATAGCATTTTTATAAACTGATGCTTTGTACCACTAGTCCTTGATGTACAACAACTTAACGACCAGTTACAACAGCACTGGAAATTGACTATGATCAGTTCTCACACTTATGACTATCAACAGGGTCTTTGTGGTCGTAATTCAGTTGCCTGGCAACCAGCAGGAATTTATGACCGATGCAGTTGCTGGGGTCATCTGTTCACTCTATATGACCTTCCCATGAGGTTTTCAACAGGTAAAGTCAAAGGGAAAAGCCAGATTCGCTTAAGGACCCTATGAGTTGCTTCACCACCGTGGCAAACAATGGCATTGCTTAAGTAATGAAAGTTCAGGTCCCAACTGTGGGCATAATTCAAGGATTACCTGTAAGTGGCCTTGATATTCTAAAGCAATCTTTTTTTTTTGGGGGGGGGGGGTTGTGAGAAAATCCACAATGCAGATCCCCACCAGAATCTTAAAACTAACAGTGTAAATTTACTGCAAGACATTAATTGTCTATATTTTAAAGTCCAGACCTAACTGAAGAATTCACACTGCCCCCTGACAGTTTTGAGGGGATTTGTGTACATAAAAATGGGATCAATGAAGATCTTATAGCTTTTAAGGCTTGCTTTTTTTTCTTTTTTCTTTTTTTTGAGTGAGTGATAAAGTGGCCTAGAGGTGGAGCTCTTGCCTCACAATCAGGAGGCTGTGAGTTCAATCCCAAGTAGAGGCAGATATTTCTCTCTCTGAGCACAATGAGAATATATCTGCTGGATATAACTCTGCACTGGTGACAGGAAGGGCATCTGGCCAGCTCCATTCAGTTGCCCAAGATTCTACCCTGCAAGGGATTACGGGGTCTTTAAAAGACGATGATGCTTTTTGGGGGGCTAGCTGAGGTTACTACCTAAACCACTAAGAAGTGGAACCCACAGCACACTCACCTTAGCAAGCCCTGCCCGGTGAGCCCCTTGTGATTCGATGTAAGCAATGTACTTCCCAAAATCCTGGAATTCTTCTAGTGTTGGATGGAACGTCATAATTTTGCAGCTGGGATTTTGCGGGCTTGGATTTTCTGACCCCATATTGGTGAAGATGGCTTAGCACTTACGCTGCAAAAGAAACAGACAGAAAGAAAGGCAACAAAAAGAAGAGAGGGAAGAACAAGCATTAAAATATATCATTGTATCTTTGGATTAATACAAGTTAGGACATTTAAGTACTATTGGGAGCGCTGTGGCTTGTGAGGTTAGAACCCTGGGTTGCCGGTCATTTGAGATCCATTGCTACCTCAAACTGGGTGTGAGCTCCCATCACACACTCCAGCTCCTGCCGTCCCAGCAGTTCAAAAAAGGGTGATGGCGAGTAGATTGATGGGTGCCACCTTGGTGAGCAATTTCACAGAGGTACAAAAGGAGCTCCCAATTGGGCATCCCACAGGCACAGGGGATATCATCAGCAAATCCTTTTGCCACAGGAGCACTTTGATACAACACACAAACACACACGACTGTTAAGACGGAGGACCAGCTTAATTGGCTAACTTTAATTTTAATACTTATAATATTTCTACAATCAATTAGTATAATCGTGATGTAAAGATCACATTGATAATTATGGGAATCACAATCACTATTTGAAATACCCAATCCACACTTTTAGCATATATTTCATAATAGAGCTAGCAAATTATTTTAAAATTTCTCTCTCTCTCTCTCTCTCTCTCTCTCTCTCTCTCTCTCTCTCTCTCTCTCTCTCTCTCTCTCTCTCTC